AAGTAGCTGGGATTACAGGCATGCGTACCACGCCCAGCTAATTTTGTATTTTTAGTAGAGACAGGATCTCCACGTTGATCAGGCTGGTCTCAAACTTCTAACCTCACGTGATCCACCCCCGTCGGCCTCCCAAAGTACTGGGACTATAGTTGGACATAGTGGCCCATGCCTGTAGTCCCAGCTACTCAGAGAGTGAGGGAGGAGGATCACTTGAGCCCAGAGGATTGAGGCTGCAGCAAATCACAATCATACCACTGCACTGCAGCCTGGGTGACAGAGCAAGACCCTGTCTAATAAAAATAAAAAATAATAATAGTGAATTATATAAATAGGCAGCAGGCCAGGTGCAGTGGCTCATGCTTGTAATCCCAGATGCTTATAATCCTAGCACTTTGGGAGGCCAAGGCAGGAGAATTGCTGGAGCTCAGGAGTTTAAGACCAACCTGGGCGACATGGCGAAACCCCATCTCAACTCAAAATACAAAAAATTAGGCAGCATGGTGGCACATGCCACCTATAATCCCAGCACTTTGGGAGGCCGAGGCAAGCTGCCCCCAAAGGCAAAACGGTGAAACACCATCTCTACTAAAAATTCAGAAATTAACCAGACACAGTGGTGCCTGCCTGTAATCCCAGCTATTTGGGAGGCTGAGGCAGGAGACTGCTTGAACCTAGGAGGCAGAGGTTGCAGTGAGTTGAAATCACACCACTGGCACTCCAGCCTGGGTGACAGAGCAAGACTCTGTCTCAAAAAAAAAAAAAAATGCGTTTTGACTTACAAGTTTATCTGACTGTAACCCATTGTAAGTTGAGGAGCATCTGTATAGATCAAATTGGGGACAGTTGATATCTTGACAACATTGAGTCTTTTGATTCATGAAGATGTTATATTTCTTGTTTTTGTTTTTTTTGAGATAGGGTCTCACTTTGTTACCCAGGTTGGAGTACAGTGACACAATCACAGCTGACTGCATCGTTAACCTCCCTGGCTCAGTTGATCCTTCCAACCTTGGCCTCCTGAGTAGGAGGGACTATAGGTGCGCACCACCCTGCCCTGCTAATTTTTGTATTTTTTTGTAGAGATAGGGTTTTGCCATGTTGCCTAGGCTAGTCTTGAACTCCTGGGCTCAAGTCAACTCCCTGCCTCAGCCTCCCAGAGTTCTGGGATTACAGGCATGAGCCACTGTGCCTGGCCAAAAATGTTATATTTCTTCATTGATTTAAGTCCTTAATATCTCTCATCAAAATTTTGTAATTTACAGCATATAGGTCTGGCACATAGTTTGTTAGATTTAGACCATGAAATATTTGATTTTTGGATGATATGGTAGAAGATGCTTCTAAAAATTCAAAATTTTCTGTTACTCATTTCTAGTACATAGAAATAAAATTGGCTTTCTTCTTCTTCTCTTTTTTTTTTTTTTTTTTTTTTTGATACAGGGTCTGTCTCTGTCCCCCAGGCTGGAGTGCAGTGGCGCAATCTTGGCTCACTGCAACCTCCGCCACCCACCCCCAACTGCCAACCAGGTTCAAGTAATTCTCCAGCCCCAGTCTCTAGCCCCAGCCTCCCTAGTAGCTGGGACCACAGGTGTGAGCCACCACACCCAGCTAATTTTTGTATTTTTTGTAGAGACAGGGTTTCACCATATTGCCCAGGCTGGTCTCAGACTCCTGAGCTCAAAGTAATCCCCCCGCCTCGGTCTCCCAAGGTGCTAGGATTACAGGTGTGACCTACCGTACCCAGCCAATAAAAAAATTTTTTTTTAACATTGCCCTTGTACCCTGTGTATGACCTTGCTAAACTCACATATTTTAGCAGGTTTTTTTTTTTTTAGCAGATTCTTATCTGTGTAGGTCATCATGTCTTTGGAAATAAAAGACAATTTTATTAGCAATGGGTAGAATCTTTAGTTCAGTGTTGAGTAGGAATGGTGAGAGTAGACATTATTTCCTTTTTCCATGTCTTGGAAGCATTCAGATTGCAGGTGAGCAAGAAGAATATACAGGGAGTGCCTGATTAAGGATTTTACAATCTTAAGATTGTAAGATTGAGGACATTCCTTTCTGTTCCTGGGTTTGCTGAGAGTTTATGTTATGAGTGGATGTTGAAAATTGTCATATGCTCTTTTCCTACATGTATCATGATGATCATATGGTTTTTCTCTTTTGGTTTGTTGATATGGTGAATTACATTGATTTTTTTGAATATTGAACAAGATTTACCTTCTGGATTTAGTTTGCTAATATTTTTTTGAGGGTTGTGATTGTGTTCATGAAGGATGATTATCTGTATAGTTTTCTTGTAAGACTGTTTAATTAGAGTGGCTTCATAAGATAGCATTGAGAAGCATTGCCTCTTCTTTTCTTCTGTTTTCTCGTAGATTTTATAATAGTTTTATTTTAGTTGGTAGAATTCACCAGTAAAGTCATTTTTGCTTGGAGTTTTCTTTGTTAGGCAATTTTTTTAACTACAAATTTAGTTTATTTAATAGAATACTCTTAAAGTTATCTATTTCTCCTTGACTAAGCTTTGTTAGTTTTATTTTTCAAGAAATCTGCCCATTTCATCCAAGTTATCAAACGTATTAGCATAAAGTTGTTTCTAATATTCCCCTGTTGTTGTCCTTTTAATGTCTGTAGAATCTGTAGTTCTTTCGTTTCTGATCTTGGCAACTTGTGCCTCCTTTTTCTTTTCTTTTTCTTTTTTTTTCTTTTTGGGACTGACCAGTCTGCTTGTTGGTCTTTTCGAAGAAACAACATTTGAATTCATAGGGTTTTTTTGGTCGAAATGTGATTTTTCTGATTTCAGTTTCATGATTTCTGCTTTTATGTTTATTTTTTCCTTCCTTCTACTTGCTTTAGGTTTAATTTGCTCTTTTCTTTCTAATTTCTTTATTTTATTTTTTGAGACAGAGTCTCACTCTGTTGCCCAGTCTGGAGTGCAGTGGTGCGATCTCAGCATACTGCAACCTCCTCCTCCTGGGTTCAAGCAATTCTCATGCCTCAGCCTCCCGAGTAGCTGGGATTACAGGTATGCACCACTATACCCAGCTAATTTTTGTATTTTTAGTAGAGATGTGGTTTTGCCCTGTTAGCCAGGCCGGTTTCTAACTCCTGGCCTCAAAAGATCCACACACGTTGGCCTCCCAAAGTGCTGAGATTAGCCCCTGCGCCCAGCCTATAAATTGTATTTTAATATAGGCATTTAAAGCTATAAAATTCTCTCTAAGCATTCCTTCCCTTCTTTTTTTTTTTTTTTAAACATCTCCCTCCTCTCTCCCCCCCCTTTTTTTTTTTTTTTCTCTGAGACGAAGTCTTACTCTGTTGCCCAGGCTGTAATGCAGTGGTGCAATCTTGGCTCACTGCACCCTCCACCTCCAGAGTTCAAGCGATTCTCCTGCTTCAGCCTCCCAAGTAGCTGGGATTACAGGCATGTACCACCATTCCCTGCTAAATGTTATATTTTTAGTAGAGTTGGGATTTTGTCATGTTGGCTAGGCCGGTCTCAAACTCCTGACCTCAGGTAATCTGCCCACCTCAGCCTCCCATAATGCTGAGATTACAGGTGTGAGCCACTGTACCCAGCCTTTTTACATCCCTTTTAAACTTTTTATCTTTCATTTCAGTCTACTTTGTTTTCTTTTCTTTTTTTATTTATTCTACTTTCTGAAATATAGATACTAATTACTGGTTTTTAGAAGTTAGTATTTAATTAGGATTGATTATGGGGATTCCAGTAATCTGGATCTGTATGCACTGTATTCCATGCAACTGCAGATAACTTCCTTCAGTTGTGTTTTGTGTATGGGAGGGGGTTGGTGGATAAGGGGGTAGTATGAGGATGGCTGTCTTTACTATTTTAAAAATAGTTTTGTTTTAGTTTGAAATTATTTTTTAAATGTTAACTATGTTGCTGAGACAATTCAATGGGGAAATAATAGCCTTTTCAACAAGTGGTGCTCAGACAATTAGATCTATCAACATGAAAAATATTGAAGTTTGACCTCTACCTCATACCGTATACAAAATTAATTCAAAATGGATCAAAGACATAAGTTTAATTGCTAAAACTAGAAAACTCTTAGAAGAAAATATGGGCATAAAATGTATTGACTTTGAATTAGGTATAATCTTAGATATGAAAACGAAAACACAAATAATAAGAGAAAAAAGTAGATAAAAAGTGAACTGTGCTACCAGTGATACCATCGGGGAAGTAAATACACAACCCACAGAATGGGAGAAAAGTTTTGCAAACCATGTATCTGAGAATGGATTTGTATCTAGAATATGAAGAACTCTTAAAACTAAACAAAAATGACAAATAACAGTTAAAAATTGGCAAAGGATATGAATAGATTTCTCTCCAGAGAAAATATATAAATGGCCAATCATACGTGAAAAGATGCTCAACATCATTATTCATCGGGGGAATGCAAATCAAAACAAAAATGAGGTGGTATAATACTTCATACTCACTAGCCTGGCTGTGGTCCAAAAGTTGCATAGGAAGAATTGTAGGCGAAAATGTAGAGAAATTGGAACCCTCATACGCTGCTTGTAGAAATGTAAAAATGGTGCAGACATTTGGGAATTTTGGCATTTCCACAGAAGATTAAATGTAGAGGTACTATATGATCCAGCAATATGATACTCTTAGGTCTATGCCCAAGAGAAATGGAAACATATGTCCACACAAAATTTGTACACAAGTGTTCATAGGTGAGTTATTCATCAT